TTTTTTTTTTTCCCAGGTTTTGGCCGGGGCTGGGTTTGAACCCACCGCCTCTGGCATATGGGGCCAGCACCCTACTCCTTTGAGCCACAGGCGCTACCCAAGTGTCTGTTTTTTCTTTCTTTCTTTTTTTTTTTTTTTCCCAGGTTTTGGCCGGGGCTGGGTTTGAACCCACCGCCTCTGGCATATGGGGCCAGCACCCTACTCCTTTGAGCCACAGGCGCTGCCCTTGTGTCTGTTTTATTTCACTCAGCAGATGCTGTAATTCACTGGAATTTCCTTCCTTGTTAAGACCGAATAATGTCCCACTGTGGCTGGACCACCTCTTGCTTATTTGTCCATCCCTGAGTGGACACTGAGGTTGCTGCCCTGATTTGGCTGGTGTGATTAAGATGGCTACAGACCTAGGTGCACAAATAGCTCTCTGAGACCCTGCTTTGGTTCTTCTGGGTGGAGACCTGGAAGAGGAATTGTGGGATCACACAGCAACATCTGACACTTCTTTAGGAACCCAAGATGCTGCCTGCAGTGGCCGCACCAGTGGGAGGGGTCCCGGCTTCTCCATACCCCAGCCCACATCTGGTCTGGTTCTTTGCAGTAGACACCAGATGCTACTGTCTGTCCTGTAGCATCTCCCTGGTCCTGTGAGCAGTCATGGGTCTGCCACATAATGCTTGTCCCTGCACACAGGACTGAGCCAGCCCACACTTCTCTCCTGTAGCTTCTGCCTGTGTTTAAACAGAGCCGGGAGCCATGCTGAGACCCTGGATCCCCCTAAGACACGAAGCCCCCAGGATGGCTGGGACGGGGCCCCCGTGCTGCTGCCAACTGCTTCTTCCCTGGGCTGTGAGGAGCTCCAGGACCTGACTGCTCGCTACACGCCGAAGGGGCTGTGCATCTACTTGGACCCCCAGGAGGTGGATTTCCTGGGCTCTTCCAGGCCCCTGCACATGCAGCATAAGCAGGCGCGGCTGCGGGCGCTGGAGACCACAGCCAACACCCTCAAGCAGCGCATCGACAGCCTCACTGCCAAACTGCACAGGTCTGAGGAGCTGGACACCGCCTCAGACCCAGCCTTGGACCTGCTGCCCTCGCACCCCAGCACTGTGCCCGCTGCCCCCACGCTCACCATCCCAGCCTGCTCTGGAGCCTTGATGCCCAATGGGGGCAGAAGGGCATCCCAGGACTGGGTGGACGTGCAGGTCCAGCCCCTCCCACCCACCACCTATTTCCTGGATGGTGACACACTGTCGTGGAGCCCCAGCTGGGAGCAGCGGCAGAACCAGAGCCCATGGGCCCAGGCCAAGAAGCCCCAAGGTGGGACTGGCGCCCTGCCCGCAGATGACCCTGGGTGGCCGAGGGGTCCCATGGGCTGGGAGCATTTCTTTCTGCTCTGGGTTTCCTATTTGGGAGTGATAGTGCGATGACAACAGCGCAGAAGTTGTCCAGGGCATCGAGGGTGACATGTGCTGGCCCTATGGCGAGGCCCACGGCACTGCCGCAGCATTGTCACTGCCTAGTCCTATGGCTGGAGAGGTCCTGAGCCAGCCGCTGCCCTATCCTGCCTCCGACAGAGGGGCCCTGAGGCCCCACTTGGGCCTGTGTCCAGCCAGCTCAAACACTTCTCCGGGGCCTTGTGCCCCTTCCCTCCTGCCACCTCGGGTGGTGAAGTTATGCTGCTCTTCCTCAAGGGCTCATGAAGGAGGAGCATGTGAAGCTGGACAAGTGGCTACAGAGGACCGTAGCCCCCTTCCAGAGCCTCAGCACGTTTGCAGGGAGGTAAGCCCTGGCCATGCCACATGCCTTTGGGGACTGTCTCTCACGACCCAGCAGTGTGTCCCCCCTCCATCCTGGTGGGGGGTGGAGCTTAGGGCTCTGGGTAGATCTGGGCTGGGAGCCACGTCGAACTGGTGGCTTTAGAACACTTTTGTGGTAGCTCTCAACCTAAGCTCCCCCCTGCAGAATGATGAGCCCCCAGGACGTGACACCCAGCAAATGTGCCCCTGCACTGGCTCTATGCCCTCAAGAGACGCGGTTGGCATGGCTCTGTCTCCTTGGTTGTTGGCAGACTGTGTCCCAGTGGCAGTGACTTGGGCAGTCCTCTGCCTGCCCAGGCTTGGTGTCCCCTAAATTCCTAGGACCACCCATCCATAGGGTGCATTTCTGGCTTTTGTCGCCAGCACTGGCTGTGGCCATCTCTGGGGGCCGCATGGGTACATCTGAAGCCCCTTCCCTGGGGATGCTGGCTGCTTGGTGGAGCATCATTCTGTGGGCCCATCTAACCCTGTGCTGCTCTCTGGGTGGAGGCTGAGTTGGAGGCTGGTGATGTGGGTGGGCTGTGTGAAGGAGCTGTCTCCCTGCAAGTATTGAACGTCCCTTAGAAGGAAGGTCAAGGGACCTTCCCCAGGACTCGTGAACACGTTTGGGTTTCCTCTCCTGAAAAACCCCTTTGCCACTCCCAAAATATTCCTCTACTCCATCACCTGCCCGGCCTGGTTTCCTTCCCTTGCTGGGGCAGGTCTGAGTCCTTGCCTGGGCCTCCCAGGGACCAAAAGTCCCTCCTGGTCCCAGCCCCATCTGGTCCACTCTCCTGTGGCGCCTGCATGCAGCTCCTGGGCCACTCCCAATTCCCTCCCCTCTCTGTCCTCAAACCAAAGCCCCCTGGGCAGGGACCTAGGCTCAGAAACTCTGAGTGTGACCCAGAGTTGGAAGGCAGGTGTCAGGAGGCCAGGCCATGGCTGTCTCAGTGCTCAGCCATGAGTGGACTGCGCAGGTGGCTGAGGGTACGAGAGCAGGTGGCACGTGCAGAACTATGGCAAGGTGTGGGGACTGCTTTCCGGGTGGCTGTCACTAACAGAGCCCAAGTGGGGGGCTGCTTCTGCTTCTGAAGTTTCCCCACATCTGAGGGGAGGGAGCCCAACGTGCCCCCTCCAATGGGGCTTCCCTCCCCCCCTTCTGCTGGGGCATGTCCCTGGCTTGGTGCCACCCTGCCATCCTTTGGGAACCCCACCACTCCTGAAGCCCCCTTGGCCAGGGGATGGCGCCTGCATCAGACCCTGGGGTGCCCCATCCCGCTCACTGCCGGGCTCCCTCCAGTGTGCGGGAGTGAACTACTGTGACCAGGAGGGGGCACCATCGGCCTGATGACTCCTCTGAACCCCACCCTCCCACCCCTGCCCCTCAGCCCTTGAGAAGAAGGCAGGGGCCTGAGAATTTTTGAAGAGCTTAACCTTAATGCCCCAGGCCTCTAGGTGGACCAGCGCTGGTCTGCCCACAGGCCCAGACCCTGGCCCAGAGGCATTGGTATTTTGGGCACACTCTGGGTCCAGCTTGAGGGGCAGAGGCACTGCTTGGGCTCCACAAGGCTGGGGTTCCCGCCCAAGACATTTCCACCTGCTCTGTTGAGGCTGAAGAGACAGCAAGAGGAGGAAATCATATTCATGAACGTGGCCCAGAAGGACCCTGCTCTTGGAGAATGGAGATTAGGGAAGCAGCTTGGAGGCTTGCTGGGCACTGTCAGTGCCTGGGGCAACCAGGAAAGGGGACCAGACTGTTCCCTCTAAAATAGCAGTCCATTCACCCCTTGACAGGGATATGGGAGCTTGGGGTTATGTGTCCAATGTTTAATGGTTCTGGAGGCCGTGTCTTCACCAGCTTCACGTGGTGAGGGACCCTAGGTCTTCAACTGATGGTGCGCTGGTCTTGGGTGCCAGGATGCCCTGCCCGCCCTGGGGTCTTTGGTCTTAGCCCCAAGGCTGCTCCAGCCTTCTGGAGCTCATGCCTGAGAGCTCTGGTGCTTGTCATCACCATTCACCACCCTGCAGCACCATGGGCAGGGCCTGGGGCAGTTAGGTCACTGCCATCCCCAGGTGCATAGCACCTGGTCTACAGTCGGTGCGTGGCAATCCCTGGAGGGGGCCACCTGGCTGGGCAGCACCTTTAGCCACCTGTGGGCCCCTGGTGAGAGTCATGAGGTTGGCAGGAGGCTGAGCTTGCCTCCGCAGGGTCAGCACATGCCCTGCCTACACACTTGTTCTGTGTCCCCAAGTCCCTCTTCTCAGTGGCTATCGCCACCTGCACTTGGTCTCTCTCCCAGTTTCCTTGGGACTGCTACCACCTGGGGAATGGCCCAGCACCATGCCTAGCTCCTAGCCCTTTCAGCAGAATATGCTGGCTAGCTGGGGCTGGGGGATACGTACCTGGCCCAAGTGCTCCCCAGATGGTCACCCACTGGCCACAGGAGCTAGTGCGAGGCAGATGACAGCGGACGTGGCTCCCTGTTCCTCTCTGGGCCTGGTGGGCAGTGTCCTTAGTAGATGGCAAAGGTAACTGAGATGACATACAGCCCTGGAGGTTCTGGTCTCAGCCCAGGGCCTGATGGTGACCCCCAAAACTGACCATCCATGCTCCTGCTGGGATGTTGCTGGTCCCCAAGCCTGAGTGCAGAGCTCCCAAGTGAGCAGACCTGGGGCTGCCACTTCCCAGATGAGGGCTGGCTGTCCTTAGCCCACCACCCTGCCAGGGACACTATGGTGCCTGCGAGTATCCAAGTGCTGCCTGCCCACTGCTGCCTGCTGGCCACTGGCGTCCCACCCTGGACACTGTTGGTGGGTCCCAGACGCCTGCTAAACACTGCCTGCTTCTGCCTCCACTCACACTTGTGCTTTGTGTCTCCCAGCTCGCTTGGGGCACCAGCCACATCCAGCCCCACCCGGAGCTCCCTGCTGCTGGAGGAGCTGCCACCGGCCAGAAGGGCAGGCTCTGTGAAGCCCTGGAGAGTGCAGAGCTGTGGTAAGGGCGAGCCTGAGGACAGGCCCTGGGCTGGCTGGTCGGGTGGCCAGGGAGGTCCACTGGGGACCCCCTCAACTGCCTAGTGCTCCAGCTTGGTCCTGCAGGGTAGACAAATTTTTCTCCGGGTGGATAGCATCCATACAACGGTATTAAAGTTTTTTGGAGGCTTTGGGAGCCGCTGCCTGCTCTGTGCTCTCGTCACGCCTGTCGCGGTGGGTTGGTTGGATGAGGGTCACATGCTCATCTTCTGAACAGCCATGCTTCCTGCGCCCCCTGTGGACAGGGGCATCCTTGAAGTCCCACCGGCCAGGGGCTGTGTCTTTCCCTTGGCTGCTCCAGTGCCTTTGTTTCTGGGCTGCAGATGAGGACACTGGTTGTGGGGTGCCCATGCCTGCCACCCACAGGTGGTCCAGTGCACACTGAGGCACCTGCCCCAGGCTTGGGGGCATCATCCTGGTAACAGCACGTGGGCTGCACTGCGGAGACCTCCCTCCAGCGTGGCTGGAGTGGGCGCTGCCTCCGAGAGGCCAGGGGCCAGATAGCCACTTGCTATCTCATCGTTACCTGTCCACTGATATTCTTCAAAAGAACAGTCTTGAGCTTGGGGAGCAGTGCTCACGATGTCCCCCAGCCTGGAGCAGCCTGGGATATTAGCCTCACTTCCTTATGGGCTCTGCTGGCCATACAGAGGCCTGTGGGGTCGATGGCCTGAGAAAGGCTTAGGGGCAGTTAGTAGAGCCCCAGGCCTTCTGCTGCATAGCTGGTACCCCAAGTTGGGGCTGCAGCCCTGGGCTCTGGGCTTTGGGCTTTGGGTTCCCACAGGCCTGGGTTCAAAGCCAGCTCCTCCTTGGCCTGGCCTTTCCTGAAAAATGCCACTCAGGGCTGGCTAGGCAATATCCTCCCCACCCAACGGTGTCCTCCCTGGCTCCCAGAGGCTACCCTGGCCACTGTAGGGTAGCTCTTCTCTGTGGACTGGCAGGAAGGGCAGTGCGTGTATGTAGATGGGGTCTGTCAGGCTCACACCGAGGCCCACTGAGAGAGAAGGGGCCAGTGCCTTGCCCATCGCTCTGAGAAACTCTCTCAGCCTGGGCAGAGGGGCTGCTGGGGATGCTGCTGGCCCAGTGCTCCAGACTGGGTAATGTTCAATGGTTCTGGAGGCTGGAAAGTCCAAGATCAAGGTGCTGGCATCTGACTGGGCCTTCATGCTGTGTCACCCCAGGGAGAAGGGCAGGAGGGAGAGAGACAGCAGCCCTGATCTACCCAGGGGGCTGAAGCCCTCCCAGCCCAATCACTGCTTGAGGTCTGCACCTCTTAATACTGCTATAATGGCAATGAAACTTCGAAGTGGGTTGTAGGGGGTAGGGACAGATGTTAGAACCAGAGCATGGCCTCTTCTTTACTCAGCAAGGGTGGCCCAGGCATCCAGGGTCAGACTATATTTGGGCTTTGTCCAGGATTTGCAGACTATCCTTCCTGGATGCTACCTGGGCAGAGGCTCAACAGTGTGAGAGCCCAGGGCAGACCCTGACTGTGGGAGGACAGCCCCCTCTTGGCCAGGACCTCCCAGGGGTGAGGTTAGGGTCAGGCTCATTCACCAAGCTCTGGGTAGAAGGTGCTGGCAGCCTCAGAAGGATAGGTTACAGGAGTCTGTTGGCTGTGCTCTTAGCACTGGAGGCAGCACTGCCCTATGGGATCTTCTGGGCCTCAACGCCCAAGCCAAAGCTGCCCAATGGACCTCCTGGACTTAACACACCCAGCCCATGCTGTTCTAGAGAACGTTCTATGGTGAGGGCTTCTCAGCTGTCCAGTATGAAAGCCACCCAGTCATTGAACAGTGGCCAGTGTGACTGAAGAGCGTAATTCTGTCATTTTTGTTGTTGCCACTTGTTTTGATAAAGCCAACAGCACCAGTGTTCCCAGGTGGCCGCCCTTCCAAATGCCAACAGGACCTTAGTATCTAAGGTCAGGCACATCCCGGCTGGGCACTGCGGACTGCAGGATGGACTTTGCACTTTCAACTTTTTCTCTGAGTTTAAACAGAAACAGGTGTGGCTGCTGGCTGTGGCAGAGTCCTGCCAGCTGTATTCTGGTTTGAGGTCCTGTTTCCTGGGTCCTAGTCGTCATTGTCACTGTTGGCAGCAGTGTCAGCAGCCATCACATGCTGAGCATTTATTAAACTGTGTCATTGGGTCCCCACAGCTGCCAGGTGCTGTGGTGTGGGGGTGGTGCTGGAATCTTGGGCTCCCCACTGATTGTTACTAGAGGAGCTGGGAGCTCACTGGGGTGACTCCTATAGTCCCGGGGGGCCACCAGCCACTTGGCCAGCCAGGCCCATGCCTGGCTCAGGGACAGCTCTCTTTTCTCCTGGGTCACAGCTCAGGCTGGCTCAGGCACATGTGGCCCATGCCCTCCCTGGTGGCATGGCTGGAGACAACCAGAAGTTCTCCCTTCTCAGGCCCATGGCTGGGACAGCTGCAAGGTTCTCGGGCCTCTGGAGCTTCTGGTGCCAAGAAGAGGTTGGGGCACCTTCTCTCAAGCACACTACATAGAAGCAAGGGATTTTCTTCCCTTCCTTCACAAAGGAATTTCAGTTCAGAATAGGCACCTAAACCCAAACCAAAACATTTAAAAGCGTCTTCACTTCTGTTGTGGCCAGCAGGTGCTGGGTGGGATGGGGTCCCTGGGGTGACTCCCCCTGCTTGACAGGCACCAGGTGGCCAGCACTCCTGCTTCTTGCCTGGCCTCGGTGCCCCTGTGGAAAAGCCATGGACTGTCTGAGCTATTGTTCACAGCTCCTCAGTTGCCCTTGCCATGAAAAGCTGCACCGCTCTGGTCTGGGGAGGGAAGCCAGGCTGCCAGAGGTCTGAGCCTGGGCAGGGAAGCAGGGATGCTGGCCGGAGGCCTCAGCACACCTGTCAGCGGCACTGAGGAGCTTGTTTGGTGCTCCTGCTCATATCCTGAGCAGCCCCAGAAACTCTGAGGATAGCCCTCAGATGTGTGGCCTCCCATCTGGTCATCAGCAGCGCCACCCACGGAGCGCTCATTAGAACATCTCCTGGGTCCCCACACCAGAACAGGACCCCATGCCACCACAGAGGCTCTGGCTGCCTAGGGGTTTGTCCAAGGTCACTGGCAAATGCATGACAAAGCTGAGATCGGGACCCAGGTCTGTCTAGTGGCAAAGCCCAAGGCCTGGGCCTCTGTCGTGCCCATCGTCCCAGTTGTTGGTCCTGGAAGGGGTTATGGCCAGGCTCAGGTAGAGCAAACCTGGGGCAGGAGGCAGGGTGAGAAGGCTGCAGCTCCCTGCTCTGCCCAGCTCTCCCTGGATGGGCAGGGAGGTGGCTCTTCTTGATGTAGTCAGTACTAGCCAGCCAGGAGCCAGTCTGCTTCCACACCTTGTCTCTGTACCTCAGTTTCTTTGCAGGTCAGGAAGCTATGTCAACGTTCTATGGGGCCCTGGGGAGGCCAGGAATCCCCAGGCCACTCAGCTGCCCCCTCTCCATGGTACTGCAGGTCAGCATGAGCCTGGCGAGCCTCATCCTGGAGACCCATGTGCTGGACACCTTACCGACCTCCAGCAGAAGTCCTTGACCTTTCTCGAGTCATTGAAGGTGTGTCCCAGGCCAATGACACCTGTGTCCCCTTTAGGCCTCTTCTACTGGGGGTCAGCTGGGAGCAGCATTGTCTCCCTGAGGCTGAGTAGAAGAGTCTCCAACCCACAGGATTATGCACAGCCAACAGACTCCTGTAACCTATCCTTCTGAGGCTGCCAGCACCTCCTCCCTGAGAAATGTGAGGGGAGCTCAGAGGAGGTGGGGACAGAGCCATCACAGGCACTTGGCCCTCCCAGCTGGGAAGACCTGAGCAGGAGAGAATGTTGGGCCAGCTGAAGGAGGGCCCCTACCCAGGGTGGCCCTCTGTGACACTGGAGATGCTGAGACGTGGGCTCTCACTGCAGATGTCCCAGCAAAAGCAGGGGCAGGCACTGGCCCTTCTGCGGCAGCGGACAGAGCTGGAGGCCTGGGAGACTCAGATGGTCCTGGATGGGCTGCTCTTCAAACGCCAGCTGGAGGTCAGCAGGCATCCCTGAGGGGCACCCCCACGACCTGCCTGTGGGAGGTTAAGTGGAAAGGACCAGGCCTGGAAGGGATGGCAAACACACTGAGTGGGGACCGTGGGCCCTCCACTCGCCAAAAGCAGTGAGCCAGAGACCGGCATGACAGGCTCAATCTAGCACCACATTTTAAAGCAAAGCTCAGAGTAGAGACAGGACATTTGGGCCACCAGTGTCCTGGGGGCACCTGCATTGGAGGTGCGTCTGCCTAGAATCAGTGCTGGGTCACAGACAGCTGTCTCTCACCTGTATCCTCGGCTTATTTGGCACCAAACCGTAGCCTGCGGTTCCTCAGGGAAAGGAAGGTGCCTGGCATTTCTCTAGCCTGCCTCTGCCCAGCCTTCCTGAGCCAGTTGGACAGGCAGCTCTTACCTTGGGGCAGCTCTGCCCCAATTCAGGGCAGCCTTGTATCTGCCCCACAAAGGGGAAGATGGCGCCCAGGCCTGGAGGTTGGTGGCTGTGACCTGGCTGGATGTGATAGTCCTTCTGGAAAGTGTCATCGTCTTCCCTGTGTCTGTAGCCGGTGATCGTTGGTGGGATGTATTAGGGATGCTCCCAGGACACTAGGGGACCCAGAGGAAGCATGTACATGTGCGTATGCTCCTGAGGGTCACACACAGACACCCTAGATCCACAATGGCACAGATACACCTGGCCTGGTCCCTCTTTCCCCTTCTCCTTCCTGCTTCCTCTGGGGCTCAGGACCCTGGCCCTACTCCTGCCAGGCGTCTGAGCCACAGTCGGGCCCGAGAGCTGGAGTTCCTTCCCAGGCATCCTCTATGCAGCCAACCCCTAAGCTGTCCCCCTCTCAGCCCCACGGTTACAGCCACGCTGCAGCCCTGGCCTCCCTCCATGTCTGCCGGGCACCTGCAACCCTCCTGCCCATGCTGCACCCAGCCCTCTCTGGGAAGCAGGGAGAGGCTGTTGGCCCCATCTAGAAGATAGACAAACAAGGGCCTGAGGTTGGAG